GGATGCTGGGGACACTTACAGCAGGTCACAGCACTGCTCACCCAAACCCTGGCTGGCTCCCAACTTGCCCTTTCAGTGACTTCTTACCCCCACTCACAGCACTAGCCACATTGCCTCCTTCCTGTCCCTTAAACAGGTATGTTCCTGCCTCAGGGCCTTTGCACCAGAAGTTCCTTCCTCCCACCTGCCTCCATCACCACCTGCTCACATTCATCCCCCACTGATCAAGAGGCCAGTCCACCCACCTGCACAGACTTGCAGCCTGGCAGGAGCTCCATTTCCATCATAGAACAAACACCTTCTGTCACTCACTTTTTATTTACTGTCCGTGGTCTGACTCCTGCCCTCCATGCCTGAGCAAATGCAAGGACTGGATCTTTGCCTCATTCAGCAGGCCCCCTCCCAAGTGCCAGGCTTAAAGCCACGGGTACTAGAGAGCCCCTGACTCAGCCCCCCTCAGCCGGGTTGCACACCACAGCCAATCCCTCCTTTCCCTGGGCTGCTCTGCTCCTGGGACACCGCATGCAACCACACACATGCTCGCATGCACCAGCACACACTCGCGTAGCTGCACACAAACACATCCATTGGGTCTGCATGTACACACAGCCACAGGTTCACACAGGCACAGAGCTACCTGCACACATGTGCATGGAGCTGTGTGTGCACATGAGCAAGCGTGACCACATCATTCCCCAGCCCAGAAACTGCTTGTGGGTCCCCAGGGCCTGACCCAGGACCCCTCATCAGAGTGCTGTTGGGCATGGCTGGAAATCTAAGAGGGATCAGAGGGAAAGAGAGTACAGGGAGAGGAGGAATGTGTACAAAGGCTTTATGGTGTATTTGTGGGGAGGTGTTAGGGATGGGAGAGACACACTGCGGTGTGACTGGGGAAGAGGAGGAAAGTCCAAGTGGCTGGACACAGAGAAAGGAGAGGCCTGAGATGAGAGGAAGGGGCAGAGCAGAACAGAAGCCCACCTGGGACCTTGGTCTTCAATGAAGACAAGAAGCCACTGAAAAATTTTAAGCCATGTGTGCAGGTACATGTTTGTGACAGTGTACAGCTGCCTGCATGCAGGTCCATTCAGATGTGTGTGTGCCCACAGGTCCCTATGCACATCTGTGAGAATATATAAGTGCACATATGTGTCTGTGTGGTTGCCTGTGTGCAAGTGTGGTCATATCTGCCCACATGCATAAGCAGCTCAGGACCAAAGCTGGCTGGGTGCATTTCACCCTCCTCAAGATGCAGCACCAGGCTCAGGGCCACCGTGGCAGGTCTCAACCCCAGGGTGAAAGCTTAGGGGGTAGAAGGAGGTGTAGCCCAGGTACGCTGCCTGCAGGGAGCCACCCTGCTCCCCAGCTGGAGGCCAGCCTAGAGTGCCCTCTAATGGGGGGATGAAGCCAGGATATGGCACAGGCTTGGCTCTTCCTCCCACATCACAAGGCCACCCTGCTTTTAAGGAAATCCCAGCCTGATAGGCAAGACCACAGAAAGGGAGGGTACCCAGCCAGCAAAGGAGACAGCCATGTATGAGCTGACCCATGAGGAACAGGCCAAGCTCCATGCAGAAGCCTGGCAAGAGGCACCACACAAAGGGAGTGGCCCAGGAGAAGCCAGGGGCTGCAGAGCAAGCCCCACTGGTGGTGTCAAGCCTGGAGCTCCCCAAGGCCCAGATTGAGGGGTGCCACTTGGAGGGACTGCAGGGCCATCATGTGCCATGTGAGGAAGTGACAGCGTCTCAGCCTGTTCAGCTGCAGCCCTGCACTGAGGCAGGGTGCCCATGATCCCCATGCCATCATAGGCTCTTAGATCTGGGATTCTCTTGTCTCCTGACTGGACCAGACTTTGTCCCAAGAGAGGGGTCACTGCAGGTGTCCCTGAGGTAGCTGGGAACCTGCTTTTCTTAGGTGGCAGCAAATAGCTTGGGGGGTCTTTATCCTTGACACTGATCAGCTTAAAGGGAATCAGTCAGTTCATTGGGGCCTGGCTGTTTCTCATATTTTAAAACACTAACTTGAGAAAAACAGTGATGATATGGGGGATATCCCCAGCCCGACTGGATGCTGCGTCTGACAGGAGGCTGCTGGCCTGCTGCGGAGCGAGAACACCAGCAGGCAGCCTGGCCCAGGTACCCCAGCAGCTGCTAGGGTGCAGGAAGCTACCCTGAGTGGTGGGGTGAGGGCTTTGGATGCCTTTCCACACCCAGGGGACTGGAAGGTCATCAACAGAGATGCAGAAGCAGCCACAGGGCCTGTCTTCCACTCACTAACAGCCAATGGCAGAGAGAGGCAGTTCCTAGGTGTGATGAGAGGCAGGACCTCGTGAACAGCACGCTATTAGTTTACAAGCCCTTATTCCGTCAAAAGTTGATTGAAGGAAATATAGGAAACATGGTAAAATTCAAAGAAGCAAGCAATCTCTTATGATTCCACAACACAGAACTTACTGTTGCTGGGAGAATGCCATCCCAGACCTCTGCCTACACGGTGCGTACATGTGTGCACATGTGGGCCATGCGTATTACACTAGCAGGTTCCCTGCCAGCCCCCACTCTGTGACAGGGCTAGGGTCATTTCAAGGCTTCTGTTCTCACATGTAATATTCTAGCTTTGTTAGGACTGGGCTGAATGACCGTTTCATCACTGCACTCAGCAGATATATTTCTGGGCGTTCCCTGATACATCTCACACCTGTGCCAGCCTGGCAGGTGGGACTACAGTGAAGTGGGACATTCTTGAGCCTCTCTGAGTCTGGTTCCTTCCCTCCCTCCCTCTTTCCACCACCAGCACTTACTAGGCACCTGCTGTGTGCCAGGCACTCCCGACACAGGGCTGAGCAAGGACAGCCATCTCCACTGGCCCTCTGGTCAGGGTAGAGGTGGCATCAGCATACAAGGTCACGTAGGTCACACATTAGCTGAAGACTGCTATGGAGGAGGCTAGTGGGCTGGGTGACACTCACAGTGACAAGGACAGTGGGGCGGTGACTGCCACGAGCTGGCACTTGCTGAGTATTAGCTCCTCACAGAGACCTGTGACTGGTCTGAGACAGCCAGTGACATGCCTGAGGCCACACAGCCCATGAGGGGGGAAAAGTGCTGGCCAGGGCCAGTGAGGGATGAGACTGACCACATTAAGAGCTGTGGGGGCCATCAGGGTTGGACCAAGGAGAGAGATAGCATCAGAGATGCTCACTGAGCCCTCGGACCTCAGAGGCTGGTAGGTGTGGGGAGCGGGAAGCGTTTAGGAGGCCACAGTTGCTGACAGAGGACAGGAGTGCTGAGCTAGTGGTCAAGGTCTGGGCAAGGGGAGGAGGGAGTGGGATGACAAGGAGGATGGAGACGACGGAGCAGAGGCCGGTTGGCAGGCTGAGTTCTGGTGCTGGTCATGCCAGGAGTGGAGAAGCTTGGGTTCTTGTCTTTGTCTGCCTTGGGGCTTCCCAGGGACATCAGGGGTCAGTGCTGGCCATGGGCAGGGACAGGGAAGCTGTGGGGGCTGCTGAGCAGGGATAGAGGCGAGAGAAGGAACAGAGGTGTGCCCATGAGTGTGGTGGGGGCAGATACCACCCTGGGCTCAGTCGGGGGTTAGAACCCTGAGCTTTGGGGGCTGCCCTAACACGGGCAGGCTGCCCAGACACCTGGAAGGTGACAGCGCTGTTGTGGAGTATAGCCAGAGGTGGCCAGCAGGGAGCACAGACACGGAGGCCTTGCCCTGTGCTTGCCCCTAAGCACAGCTGCTCCTCATGATGAACAGGCTGGTGGGTGACAGACTCAGCCTGGAGCTGGGGAGGCCTCTGGCCCACCCTGCTTTCCTGGACTCAGATGACACTGCCCTCAGGAGCTGCTCTGGCCTCTCCCTCTCCTGTCTTCCCAAGTGGACATCACCACAACACGCTGTGCAGGCCAGGCCCTGCTGGCCCCTGCTCCTCACCTCAGGCCCAAACTTCCCCCAACCCCACCTTGCCCACCACAGCACCCCACCTAACTCTGCTGCCTACCCATCTACTAGATACCAGAGCCTCAAGGGAAAACACAGCCAGGCTTCTCCCTGGCCAGGTACATGTCCTGCCCCATGAAAGCAGTGGGGACCCAGCTCCCATGGATGTAGTCAGTCAGGGAGGTGCCTCCCTTCAGGCAGAGCCAAGGCCAGAACTCTACTGTAAAACAGCTCCATTAGCACCCTCCAAGACAAGGGTCCCAGGTGGCACCACAGTGTGCTTACTTGTGAGTCCTAAACAGAGACCAAGGCTCAGGGAGGGCAAGGCCATGGGCCTGGTAGGCAGGAAAGGGTGGTGGAGGGAAGGCAGCGCTGGGGCTGGGTGGGTGGAGGCCTCGCTCACGCCGTTCTCCCCGTGCACCTGGCTACAGGCTGATGGCCAGGTGGCAGCAGGCGTGTTTGTCATGCTGCAGCTTGGACAAAGCCCCTGCAGTGCTCTGTGGAAAAGAGAGGGTCTGATGGATAGTTCCCAGCCTGCTCTCTGGGGTGGACTGTGGCTACTCTGCTTTCCAGTTCGGCCTGAGGTGGGGCCACAGGAGGAGGCTCACACTGTTCTCTGTCTGGCAGGTGAAGGGCTGGATGCCCGGTGGGAGCAGGAGCAGACTGAGGCAGGGGGGCCGGAGGGAGCACAGGCGGCACCTGCGACCAGCTCTCCAGCCGTGCTCAGCAGCATCGCCACAGCAACCAGCGGCCAGACACATGGGGATGGCTTCCCAACCGTAGGCCGAGGACGGGGAATGACTACGGCAAATCAGGCCACACTGCCAACAAGGGAGGTGGAGTGTCACTAGAGGGGAGGGGCGGTCACCACCCACTGCAGAGAGCCATGCCCGCCAGAGAAGAGGCCCTGGGGCAGGGGCTGTGGCGGTGCTCAGCCTCACGCCCCGGCCAGCACTGAGCACTTCCAGGGCAGCTGGGCTCCCATCTGCTGGGCGCACCAGCCCAGGCTTCAGCGTCCCCTGCTCCAGCCTTCTTTCCTGGTGGCCAGGCAAGCAGGCAAGAGGGAAAGGCACCCTGTCCCGTGCTCCACATCTGGGCCTGCCGCTGCCGGACCATGGGATGTCGGCAAAGCTCAGAGGAGAAAGAGGCGGCACGGCGGTCCCGGAGAATCGACCGCCACCTGCGCTCAGAGAGCCAGCGGCAGCGCCGCGAGATCAAGCTGCTCCTGCTGGGCACCAGCAACTCGGGCAAGAGCACCATTGTCAAGCAGATGAAGATCATCCACAGTGGCGGCTTCAACCTGGAGGCCTGCAAGGAGTACAAGCCCCTCATCATCTACAACGCCATCGACTCGCTGACACGCATCATCAGGGCCCTGGCCGCCCTCAGGATCGACTTCCACAACCCCGACCGCGCCTACGATGCCGTGCAGCTTTTCGCACTGACCGGCCCCGCAGAGAGCAAGGGCGAGATCACGCCAGAGCTGTTGGGTGTCATGCGGCGGCTGTGGGCTGACGCCGGGGCCCAGGCCTGCTTCAGCCGCTCCAGTGAGTACCACCTGGAGGACAATGCGGCGTACTACCTGAACGACCTGGAGCGCATCGCAGCGCCCGACTACATCCCCACTGTGGAGGACATACTACGCTCCCGGGACATGACCACGGGCATCGTGGAGAACAAGTTCACCTTCAAGGAGCTCACCTTCAAGATGGTGGATGTGGGTGGGCAGAGGTCGGAGCGCAAAAAGTGGATCCACTGCTTTGAGGGCGTCACAGCCATCATCTTCTGTGTGGAGCTCAGTGGCTACGATCTGAAGCTCTACGAGGATAACCAGACGGTGAGTGAGCCTGGGTTTTCCTCTACTTGTTGCCATTGTCATGGGCTTCTGGAAGCCGGTGAGCTCCTGGGGGTGAGAAGAGGCTGCAGCTGCAGCTGGGAGGGGAACCGGGCACGGGCTGGCCATGCTGTGTGATGACCAGAAGATTAGGCTCCCTTGAGGAGGCATCACTGTGGGCAGATGCCTTGGGGCTGATCAGGCTTCAAGGCAAAGTGAGGTGCCCGGGCTGGGGCCTGGGGATGGCCCATGGCGCATCTACAAGCAACCCCGCAGCTGCCAGTCACACGAGCTCAGTGAGTGGACACTCTGGGCTGCTGCCCATTTCTGATGCTGTACCCAGAGGCCTTTCTAGCCTGGATCTAGCGGCTGTCTCATCTGTCACCTCTAGAGCAGACATGGTGAATTCTCTCCGCACCAGGCCTGGCTCCTGACCCATCCATTGGCAGGCTATGCCCACAGGTGTGCCAGGATCCAGGAGGGTTGGTCGCATGTCTCATGGATGGCTTTGGCTGTCACCTCTGTTCTCTGCTATCTGCCCTACTTTAGCACCATGTATGCTTCTGGGTAGAGATGTCCCAAGGCAGCTCCAGCAAGACGGGGGTTGGGGGTGGGTCCTCACACTGTACACAGAGAGCAGAGTACGGAGTCTGTTGATGAACATGGACACCATGAGACCTCAGGGCCATGCCTGCTGCTAGGAGGTCAGCCTTGGACATCGGGGCTCCTGGGGAGCAGAGCTATTCTGGGCTCTCACAGGTTCCCTGTGTTAGACTTCATGGATACCCTGGCCTCAGACCCTCCCCCGACCTAGGTGACCATGCCCTGATAGACTCTTGTTTCAACACCCCCTCAAGTGACCACCACACCCCTAGACTCCACAGAGGAAGTCCTGGCTCACCAGGCAAGGACACCTATCAGTTATAGCCACCTTCCCCTGGCTGTAGGTGACACTGACCTTGTGAATGCTTGTGGGCCCATGGTTCCCAGGGCGCATGCATAGAGCACGTGGTCAGGCTGCCTCCATTCAGGGCATGGAGGCCACAAGACAAGAGAGGACAAGCCCGGCCAGGCATCCATTATTGGTACATACAACAGTTTGGCAAATTTGAGAAACTGCTGCCACCACTGGTCTGTCATTGTGTAGACCCTGGGTACAGCTGCCATCCTGGAGCCCCATCTTGATTTCACAAATCGTGCAGTGATGGGATTAAGAACTGTTTGGAGGGTGTGACCCCAGGGCCTAGGCTTGAGGTCTCAATGCTGGAACTCGGTAAAGGAGATGGCCTTGGGTAAGTATTGGGATTCTTCTGAGGACCCTTGTGTGGAGATGAGGGCTTGGGCATGAGGTAGGCACAGGCCAAGGGAGACATGGCCTAGCTCCTAGCTCCAAGCTGGTGGGGCTTTGAGATAGGAGTTGCTAGCAAGGGCAGGCCCAGCCAAGCCAAAAGCTGAGCACCCAGTGGGTGGCAGGAGCCAGGAACAGCAGCGGCAGAGGTTGTGGTGGACAAGGGGCTAGCTATCCCCACACTTGAGGTTTTATGCCAGGCAGGAACCCTGAACAAAGTCCCTGGCTCTGCCCTTAAGAGAGAGGCCTTTGACCCAGGGTGTAGGGGGAGTGGGGAGAAAAGGAGTCCCCTGAGGAGCAGGAAGTGAGGCTAGAGGTTCTCAGGAGAGAGCAAGGATGCTCATGGGGTGACCCAGAGAATAGGGATCCTCCACCATGGAAGATGATGTCCCAATCCCCGACTGTGGAGCACCGGCATCCAGGGCCATTCCTTCTATATGCTATCCTAAGGCCAGCTTCATTCCTTGGGTTCAGCCAAGGGATTTAACTTGGGGCCTAGACAGTTCCAGGCTGTGGCCCTGGTGCTGAAAGCCTGCATATTCTATGAAGAGAGGATCTATGGCTTTCATCAGGCGGCCTTGGAGGCAGGGCTCACCCCTCCCCTCCATGCATGGGGCCCTCCTTGAATCTGTGCCCAGGTATTGATGGTGTGCCCAGGAGGGACAATGGGTAACTGCATGCAGACTCTGCCTCCCCTGGAGGTGGGACAAATCTTTAGCCCACTGTGGTACACATGCTCCCAACTCTGTGTCTGTAAGCCGGCTTCAGGCATCTGGCCCCTCCTGCTCTCTATCTGTCCCACTCTAGCACCACATGTGGTTCTGGTGGAAGAGACGTCCTAGCAGACCAGTGAGGTCAGGCTCCCTGAGGAGGCATCACTGTGGGCAGAGGGCTTGGAGCTGACCAGGCTTTGAGACAAGGTGAGGTGCCCAGGCTGGGCCCTGCAGGGATGGTCCATGGAGTGTCTACAGGCCACCCCACAGCTGCCAGTCACACGAGCTGGGGCAATTGATGCCACACTCTGGACTACTGCCCATTTATGCTGCTGTGCCCAGAGGCCTTCCTAGCTTAGAACTAGTGGCTGTCTCATCTGTCACCTCCAGAGCACATGTGGTAAATTTCTTCAGCACCAGATATGGCTCCCAACCCATCCATTGATGGGCTATGTCCACAGGTCCC